GCATGGTTGAATTTGTTGTATATTGAATATTTATATATTGGAAATGGAATGTGACCATTAAGCAGCTCAAATTGTTGCAATATAAATAAAGTTTATTTTATTAACACAAGACACAGGACACAAGCATCGAATGATATTAAGATGGGCTTGAACTGTGGAGTTTTAGTGTCGACACTGAAGAGTTTTTCTTCTCACTTCACTCTTCAAAGGTAGAGTGTTTGTATTTCTTTTCTACTTTTTTCTCTCCATGACTGAGCGTCAACCTGTTGCTCAACAAAACCTGAGTTAAATTTAGACGCTCTGCTGTTTGTTTTTCTCCTCTGGTCGGTCTGAAGCGTTGCAGAGCAGGAACAGAGTTCATCACAGCTCTGGCAAAACTCAGCAGATCAAAGAACAGCTACTTGTTTTCTGAAGCCTGGACAGAAAGTTACACTTCGTCCTGGTTCAAACCTATTTCTTCACCTCTAGTTCTGTCGCTTTTACTTCACAGGATTCCCCAGCAGCTCTTTCGGTTCAGACATTTCCTGCTCTAAAGCTCCCACAGATTTCATTGAATCCTGTTAGCTTATCTGGTTTCCTTCTTATCAGCAGGCTGTCTGTGAAAAACCAACTGTACCTGCTGCAGCTTTCTTTCCCTAAACCATACAATCAGACTTCTTTTAGGCCTTTTATTGTGAAATCTAATATTCCTAAACTGGTGCAAAAATCTGGCCCTGACCTTATGGATACTGGGATACCTTTGAGCAAGGTACTAATCCCCTTATGGAGCTGCTACAACACACCAGACATTTTGAACCCTCTGTGGTTTTTCCACTAATGAACGACTGGAAAGCATTCTTTGGGTGTTTTGGAAGTTTGAAGAAATTTGTTTGCCCGAGCTTTGTTTTTTCGTTTGCTGTTGACCACTGCTTGAATTGAAAATTAGGTGAAAAAACAAGTATATAAAAGATGTGTGTACCCTCCAGGTCTGAAAATGGAAGCCTTAAACATGCATCCTTGATAACAGCCAGCAGGGGGTGACTCTTTTGGTTTCAAAATTAAATCTAATAGTATGGAAGTGTATGAGAAATGCAAATGCAAAAAAAATGTTCTGATGACATGCAAAGTGACTCTGCATATAAAAATGTTGACCTGATGGTGGTGTTAGAGGAAATGTCAGGGGATCATCAACATGCACCAGATTCCATCACAATCCATTCAATAGTTGTTGAAACATTTGATTTAAAACCACAAATGTAAAATTCACGGTGGTGCTAGATGAAAAGAAAGGTGTCATCAAAGTCAGCAGGATTCATCTTATGAGAATCATGAAAAATTCCATGCCAAGACTTGGTAATTGCTGAGATATTTGATACTAGAACAACGTGGTGGATGGGTAAAGCCCAAACAGCCAATCCCACTGTTAAATTTAACCCTCTTAATAATTAAAAACTACCTACTTCTACTTTAAGCATCACATTTATGTTTTGCTCTCTAAGTTTTAGTTTGTGGGCCTTAACGTCTCACTGGCAAAATGAGGATTTGTCCCTAGTGGTCCTGTTGCCTTGCTTCTTCCCACGTGTCCTGAACGCACCGCTAGCCTCACTGCAGCTCTGGGAAAAGCGGTGTAGACCTCCCCACTCACATGCATGAGTAGCTGCAGCTCAGCTCCACAACAGTGCTACAGTTCATCAGTAATTGTGTCAAGAAGGGTGCATTATCTTTTCCCATCATTCCCATTCAGTAACTGGGCCTTTCAGCTAGAAGATAAAGGCTTGTTGTCTAACTGGGAGAAGACCAAATTCACAACATAAACTGATACTGATGGATTCCTAAAAGCTAAACATGGAAGTCATTTTCATAAGTTGAATTTGTCCAGTTGGTGATTCCAGACACACACAGAACGCAGGTCACCCATTAACGCATCATAACAGTGTTTTTGTTGATTAAAATATCCTTTATCAAAGTAATGTCCTCATACTTGGTCATGTTTACGTCCCAGTTCAGCTGCCGTTCCTCAGACTGTAACACCACATGGTGTGCACCTGTCATCTCTGGCTGAAATGTGTCCTTCAAAATAAATGTCTTTTTTTTTCTTTTTAGCTAAAGCTTTAAATAAAGCATTGATGGTAATTAAAACTCCAATGTGTTAAATCTTAGTTATTCACCTTTAGTTTCTGCATGTGTTCAGTACAGATGATGTGATTTGTGCGTACAGATGATGTGATTTGTGCATTTTAAAGGTTTTTGTTTGTTACAAAGCAACACAACCATGTAGAAGGAGCGAGAACTCAGAAATGTAATTTGTGCTGTATGACAGTCGTACTGCCACATATTAAAAAATGGAGTGGATCATGACTGGACATAGCTCCAGTTCTATGAATACAAAATGAAAAAAACCTGAAAGCATTTTTTCTCGTGCCCACAGGTGTTACCACCACTGAAAAAAAGGTTACTGTATATACTATACATAACTGACCATTACTACCTCATCCTTGTGTATATAGTCTTCTTTAAAAAAAAAAACAAAAAAAACATCTTCTGTATATAATGTTTTTTTCTCTTGCAATTTTTGCACTGTGTGTTTTCTGTTTTCTGTTTTTCTGTTTTCTGTTTCTGTTTCTTTCCTGCATTTTGCACTGGGTGTTCCCAATTATTCTTGCACTGACTGTACACTTTTTTTTGGAGCTGTTGTAACAGTGAACTTTCCCCACTGTGGGATCAATAAAGTTATCTTTATCTTTTATCTTTATCTTTAATTGACTATTTACATTTTTACAGCCTCTACAGACTGCATTTTGACACTACTCTACATATAATTTTGAGAAAGATGTTGCACCATGCTGAACGGATCTTCTAACAACTTTCTCCTCTGTTCACTGTTTTTGAGCCATGCTGCATTTATTTTATTGATCCGGTATTTATTTATATTTATATTTATTTTTCCTCTCAGTCTCGCTTGTCATCTCCTCTCGGCTCAACAACATGAAATTCACCATACAGGTAATAGGCACACTGAAAACAGAAAGCCTGAAGAGGCCAATTAACAGTCCTACAAAATCAAGAACGAGGGAACTTAATACTGCATTAAGCATCAGACGTGGGTACAATTACCAACTATTATAACTGTAAAGAAATCCAACAGCAGACAGATCCACGTCGTTTAATCACTCATCAACCCACAGCATATTCAAAGTCGTAAAAACGGACATCTCTTCAACATGGAATGGTCTTCTGCTTGAACAGGCTCTACAACATCTTTTACACTCATGCAGCCTCATATCATCCTCTGTGCTTCACTGTCAGGATGGTTCGCTGGTCAGACTCACACCAAACATGCTGGACTCCATCTGAGCCCAACAAGTTTATCTTCATCTGATCTAAGAATGTTTTCACTCTTGCCCCATGCGCAATGGAAATATGCTTTATGTCAATAAAGCCTTGACTATACTCTGGTGTGGATGTGCACATCGACATGTTGTTGTTGCTGTTACATTACTTTTCTAGTCTAATGCTGTGTTCACACCAGACGCGAGTAAAATAATTTGCGCGAATGATTTAATGTGCAGACACGATTACACGAATTGTGTGATTAGTGGGTGCAAATGGCACAAATTGAGCAAGTTGTCTGCACGAATGACGCAAATTCGCGTTGGACGTGCAAGTTGAAAAATCTGAACTTTACTGATCATTCGCACCACGATGGCCAATCAGCGCTGAGAGTCTCTGGTGATGTCAAGAATATGATTCATTCAGTTTTTTGCAATTACACCATGAATATTAATTGATTTACTCACCCCAGAAGATAAGTAGCCACATTACTGGCCAAGGCAGATCTCAGTGCTCAGCAAACTGGCTGTCCCCCTCCTCCAGTCCACACATAAGAATGCTACCTCTTCAACTTCGCAAGCTAGCGAGCCAAGTTGCTAGCTATCGCAATGCTAGCACGATAAACCTCCGCTGGCTCCTCATCGCTGTGGTCAATGTACTGCTGCTGACGGCCACTCGTCTGTTTGTTGTATGTGACGAGGAAAAAACATCGCTCTATCCCAGCAAGCGCCTGTAGTTGGTATCCTGGAGAGATATCCTACAGGTCCTCCAACAGGTTGTCAAACTGGGTCCGGGTCAGCCGAAAATAGCGCTGGAAGCGGCCATCATCCAGGCACAGCTCCTGGAGAAGGTGAGGGAATTCCCCAAGCTGTGTGCGTCTCTGGAGGATCTGATGAATGCAGACACGGCAGCCTCTGGATTCGTGTCATTCGCGCAAATGACACGAATTCAGACACGAATCTCTCCGAGTTTAACACGTGAATGAAACGAGTGAGCTCAGTGCATACATGCGTCCAAATACGCGCGAATAGTGCGATGAATTCGCGTCTGGTATGAACACAGCATTAGGGAGTCCACTAGGAGGGCTTTGTTGCAAACACTCCAAGTAGCACAGTCATCATGCAAACACAAACGTTAGGCTGCATGGGCCAGATAGTCTGCATGAACTCTGATGGTATATGTCCACAGGATCCGACAGTTTCTCGTTTCCCATTCATTGTCTATGTGAAACTCAGTCAGGTGACATGTTGTTAAGAGCTGCTGTGAGCTTGCCAAACCTATAGGGGGCAGAGTAACGAGAAGCATAAAGCCATGCTAGCCAATCAGAATCCGGGAAAAAACACAACAACGAATGGCATGAATTACCTCCTGGTACTTCAACGATAATGACGCGAGGGTCGTTTGTTTGGACCGACAGAGAAGTGGAGCTCCTCCACATAATAGAACATTTCTGAATGAAAATGCAAACAAGTCAAAAGCATTTGCACAAACGTAAAAACGAGCACTGCTTTAACAACATCCATTTCTGTCACAGTAGCCAAACTGTAAACATGGATCGCACACATATGATGCTGATGTCTCTTTTGACACATACTGAGATGTTTAACTCTGTCTCATCCTGTCTGCATGCAAACGTAAAGACAGATTTTTTCCGAATCTCTACTTTGGCCGGAGTTCTCAGATATTTTCAGTGACTTGTAGCTTCGTTTACGTGTAAACCAAAGGCACAAACGCATTGAAATATCTCCGTTTTTGCTACATGTAAATGAGGATAAGACAGTGTTTTTATATGCTAATGATATGGCCTGTATCTTGTGTCTGTGTGCAATATCAGCACAGAACAAATGTCAAGTATGCTCAAATTGTGTAATAAATCACATCTATATAATATATACAGTACAGACCAAAAGTTTGGACACACCTTCTCATTCAATGAGTTTCCTTGCTTTTAATGACTATTGGTATTGTAGATTCACACTGAAGGCATCAAAACTATGAATTAACACATGTGGAAATATGTACTTAACAAAAAAGTGTAAAACAACTGAAAATACGCCTTATATTCTAGTTTCTTCAAAGTAGCCACCTTTTGCTGTGATTACTGCTTTGCACACACTCTGCATTCCCTTGATGAGCTTCAAGAGGTAGTCACCTGAAATGGTTTTCACTTCACAGGTGTACCCTGTCAGGTTTAATAAGTGGGATTTCTTGCCTAATAAATGGGGTTGGGACCATCAGTTGTGTTGTGCAGAAGTCAGGTGGATACACAGCTGATAGTCCTACTGAATAGACTGTTAGAATTTGTATTATGGCAAGAAAAAAAGCAGCTAAGTAAAGAAAAACGAGTGGCCATCATTACTTTAAGAAATGAAGGTCAGTCAGTTCGAAAAATTGGGAAAACTTTGAAAGTGTCCCCAAGTGCAGTCGCAAAAACCATCAAGCGCTACAAAGAAACTGACTCACATGAGGACCGCCCCAGGAAAGGAAGACCAAGAGTCACCTCTGCTGCGGAGGATAAGTTCATCCGAATCACCAGCCTCAGAAATCGCAGGTTAACAGCAGCTCAGATTAGAGACCATGTCAATGCCACACAGAGTTCTAGCAGCAGACACATCTCTAGAACAACTGTTCAGTGGAGACTGTCTGAATCAGGCCTTCATGGTAGAACAGCTGCTAGGAAACCACTGCTAAGGACAGGCAACAAGCAGAAAAGACTTGTTTGGGCTAAAGAACACAAGGAATGGACATTAGACCAGTGGAGATCTGTGCTTTGGTCTGATGAGTCCAAATTTGAGATCTTTGGTTCCAACCACCGTGTCTTTGTGCAACGCAGAAAAGGTGAACAGATGGACTCTACATGCCTGGTTCCCACCGTGAAGCATGGAGGAGGAGGTGTGATGGTGTGGGGGTGCTTTGCTGGTGACACTGTTGGGGATTTATTCAAAATTGAAGGCATACTGAACCAGCATGGCTATCACAGCATCTTGCAACGGCATGCTATTCCATCCAGTTTGCGTTTAGTTGGACCATCATTTATTTTTCAACAGGACAATGAGCCCAAACACACCTCCAGGCTGTGTAAGGGCTATTTGACCAAGAAGGAGAGTGATGGGGTGCTGCGCCAGATGACCTGGCCTCCACAGTCACCGGACCCGAACCCAATCGAGATGGTTTGGGGTGAGCTGGACCGCAGAGTGAAGGCAAAAGGGCCAACAAGTGCTAAGCATCTCTGGGAACTCCTTCAAGACTGTTGGAAGATCATTTCAGGTGACTACCTCTTGAAGCTCATCAAGAGAATGCCAGGAGTGTGCAAAAGCAGTAATCAAAGCAAAAGGTGGCTACTTTGAAGAACCAAGAATATAAGACATATTTTCAGTTGTTTCACACTTTTTTGTTAAGTATATAATTCCACATGCGTTAATTCATAGTTTTGATGCCTTCAGTGTGAATCTACAATTGTCATAGTCATGAAAATAAAGAAAACTCTTTGAATGAGAAGGTGTGTCCAAAATTTTGGTCTGTACTGTATATATATACATATCTATATAATTTTTAATTTCGTTGTACCTTGTGTATGATGAAAATGAAAGTATTCTATTCTGTTTCTATTCTATTCTATATTATATATATATGTCAATTATTGGATGATAGTTTATTGATTTGGATCTTTAAAAATGTTCTACTTGTCATCATTTAATGTAATGTTCCAAAATATGTCAAATTCCTTGTGTGTGAAAACCAACTTGTCAGTGTTACTGATTGTGATTCTGGTAATTCTGCATTTTTGAAGAAAATCATTCGAATTTATGATGCATATATTGCAGGAGCTATAAAGGAAGGGGGCTTTGGCCTCAGTCGAGGTTACACCTCCCTAATTGTTGCAGTACCACAACTGTCCACCAGGACAATTGGTAGCAAGGTTGAGAGACAGCACTGGTTCTCCCCATAGACCAGGGGTCTCGAACTCCGGTCCTCGAGGGCCGCAATCCTGCAAGTTTTAGATGTTTCCGTCTTCCAACACACCTGATTCAAATGATCAGCTCATCATCAAGCTCTGCAGAAGCCTGATAACGATCCTGATCATTTGAATCAGGTGTGTTGGAAGACGGAAACATCTAAAACTTGCAGGATTGCGGCCCTCGAGGACCGGAGTTCGAGACCCCTGCCATAGACTGTATAAGAAAGATGGAACTGGCCCTGAAAAATGAAGTCCACCAGCAAATGTAAAAAACCTTTAGTACCACTATGTCCGCTAGGTGCTGGCTCCAAAAAGCTCTGGCTCCCATAGACCCCAGTTCTAAACAGGATAACACAGATCACGAAAGACAGCGTTAATACAGCTCAGGATTATTTTTTTGTTAGTTTTCATGGTCAAAACCAGAGATCAGATGCCCAATCTGTAAATAATTCAGTGTTGAATTTTATATAAATCATCAAAGTTTCGGTCATATGGGGTCATGGTTATTTGATTGACAGTCAAAGAACATTTTACTGCCTTTATTGTTTTTATTCCAAAGTATGAAAATGAGTAGTGAGTAATATGAGTAATTGGGGAGAAGGAAAACCAACACTCTGATTACATGAGCTCCTCAGTTATCTGATAAACACTGACGTAGAGAAAACAGTCTGCTGGACTGATTTACATTAAATAACAGAAGGTAACTATGACTCAACTCTGAGGTTCACTGTGATGCTCATGTCATGGTGATCAGACCTCAGTAACTTTACTGTTTCTGAAAGAGAAGGAATCATTTTAATAGATGTTTGTCTCAGTGAAGTGAACAGAAGCTGTTAAAAGCCAGAAAACAGAGACATGAACTGAACTGAGCTTCATTCATTGAACTGAGAGATTAACACTAATCAGAGTTCTGTGGCGTAACGTTAGCTTGGTTTAGTTTCTGCTGATTTTTACTGTCTGCCATGAGACGACAGCAGTTAACAGACTGTAATAACACAGCAGGTAAATATAGGCAGACAGAAAGTCCTCGGCTCTATGTCAGTCTGATCAATCGCTGCTCTCCAGCTCTACCCTCTCACAATCTTTTTTCCGTCTCTGGCTCCAAAAATCCACGATTTCAACCAGGAAGTAGCAAAATCCTGGCTTATTTTGTCAGTGCAGAAACCAACGGGTGACGTCACGGTAGCTATGCCCATCTTTCTTATACAATCTGTGATTCTCCCATGCCAACTTTTCAATGCTTTAATTAACTGTTGTAATTATCTGTCAGACTCTAGGAACTACAATCAATGCCGCAGCAGCCCCCCAGCAAGGGTTTGGACCAAACACCTCCTATTGTTATGAGCGGAGCTCCAAGTCTGAAAGTCCTCACGCTGACTCTCTTCTCATGTTAATGCATCCAGCACAAAGACAGGTGAGGCCGTAATGAGACGGGAAATGGGTCGCACTGTTAGTGTGCAGGAAGGTGCAAAGAACTTGTAGAAGTAAAGCTGTTCATTTTTTAAAAACTGTATATTTCAACCTGTTCAAAGTTACAGTCTGGTGTTTTGTGCAACAGCTGCAGATATAGTTAGGATTTGACACTAAATCATTATGTCAGTGACATAGGGAACTCTGCAGAATTCTGGGACGAGCTGCATGTTTTTAGCTTTAGGCCAAGGTTTCATTTAAATTCCGCTTTTATGACTTCAAATCTTGGAGTCATAATTTGCTTTTACATTGGATTTTATGTCGTCCTTAATGTCTTTTTACTGATGTTTAGGTTTAATATGCGTTTAATTATTGGTACAGATTATTTCTGGTTGTTACTGGTCATTAGAAAAGTTTTTTTTTTAAAAAAAAGATGTTTTTTAATTTGTAAATTACAATCAAATCACAACAGTATAATATATAGGGAGGGTTGTAAAAGTTAAATGTAAAAAACCTTTAAAGCCAGTTTTTGTATTTTTAAAGAGGCTTTTAGGTGCTCTAAAAGTTGAGAAATTTGAAAATGTACAACTGCTAGATGAGCTGTATCATATGATAAAGATCAATAGCCCCAAAAAAAAGAAAAATTAAAATGTAAACTAAGCATAATTTAACAGCTTTTTAAAAATATATACCCAGGATGCAAAATACTTTACTGATACCGAATGCATTGTCCTGAGAAAACAAAGATTAAAATGAGAAGTCTTTAAACTTTGTCGGAAAAATGCAAGATGTCATCTAATATGGAACTAAATGCACATAAACAAACATTTAAATGTGATGTTAGTTTCTTTAACTCTTTCTAAATGTTATTGTTTTTAACTACTTGAAAATTGCAGGTGTTTGTGTTTCATTTGAATCAGATCCCCCCCCCCTTTTGAGTTTTCTACGATTATTAGTATGTGAAATCAGCCTAGTGTACTATATATGTCTGCAGTAGGAGCTGTGTCAAGCCTAATAAATGCCATCAAGTGATGTCTTTTAAGTCAGCATGTGGGGCTGAAGGCCACAAGTGTTTAGGAACACCAAAATCTGCCAAGCTGCTCTTCTGTAAAAAGGGAACAAAACTTGGGGGAACACTCAAGGATTCCTCCGTCCAGCCCTCGAGTCTCCAGTAATTTCCTGCTAATTAATAAGAACAATTTTTTTAATGCAAACTTTCTCACAGTAGGGTGCATTTAACGGCTTCACTGGTGTTGCATGATCTTTATCAGAGGACAGCTGTTGTAGAAATTTCACATTTCTAGGCTCTGGGACCAGTTTAAAGAGTTTTAATCCATGTTGGCATTCTTGGAAACAATCTCACGTGAATTCCATTCAGTTCCATTCTAACTGCAGAAATTTATGAGAGTAAGTCAAAATTTTATTTTTTTCCTGTTAAGAAAAGGGTGGTAAGAGTTTTCAATAAGGGACACAACATTTTAGTTGTCATCATCATCATCTACACTAAAGATACTATAAGATTCATGAGGAAAGCACTTATGAGATATCACACTCCTTTCGTTGCTAGCTCCTTATTCAATAGAGAGCTAGTGAACAGAGATGTTCCGATCAAGTTTTTTTTTTGTTTGTTATTTTGCTCCCGATCCGATCCTGTCATTTAATATTTAGTCAACACTCGCTGCCATTTTCCTGGATCACACACTTTTAAAGTATTTGAGATCAACTGTATTACCTGGTTGCACCACCAGGTGGAACTTCCTGCTGTTTAGTCCTGTAGGCAGAGGCAGCGTGTAGTTATGTGTTGGCAAGCAGAGAGCATTGTGGATGTTTAGCTATAGGCCATACGCTAGCTTTTCTATGGTGATGTTCCGTTCCACTATTATGGAAAATAAAATCTCTTTATATATTCTGAAAATATATCAAGCCATCGTACTTCCATAAAGTTTAGACACGCAGAAATCCTACATTATTTTTGCAATTCGAGTGTCAAGATGGAACTATCTTTTCCACCGCAGTAGGAGTGTGAAGTGCCAGTGACCTTGCTACGACCAATCAGCGTAAACAATCACTACCATATGACGTCAGTGAGTCAGTCTATGTGTAAACAAAGATGGCGGCGCCCTGTCCAAAGAGACAGCGTGGATCACTAAATCCAGATAAAAATTCGGAAAATCCTGCTTGCCAATCAAGAAGGAGGTAGAGAGCCGGGAGCCATGCTAGGCTAAAGGCTTACCCCTCCAGACTCCACACAGGACTGTCGCTCCTACTCTCTAATGTCCACTTCCTCGACAAAAAGCTGGACGAACTACGTTTGCTGAGAGAAACCCGCAGAGAGTGGAAAGACTGCTGAGACAGGAAGGCAGCATCTGCGACTTCACCATCGTCACAACATCATGTGTGTCTTTGTGCCCCTGAAGACCAGGACCTGAAGAGGTTCGCCATGTTCAACGTGATGGCGGCATGCATGGACGCAGACGTGCATTCCACAAAACTTACTAATTAAATGATCCTGAAGAAACGTTCTCTCATCTTGCCTGTCCGACTGTGTATGTACAGCAAAATGACAATAAACTTGATTTGATTTGATTTGATACGCACGTTGGACAGCGAGTACAATGAACTGGAAACCCGTCCCGGCTACCATCCTTCCTGTTACAAACGTTTCACGGACAAAAGAAAATGGTTCTGTGCCAAGCAAAGAGTAGAAAAACAGAAATCAGGTGGTACTGGTGATCAGGCTAACAATCGTATATGTCAAAAAAGTGTGTTTTTTTGTAGTCTATGTGTGTGTAGTTTGCCTGCTGCTGCCGTGCTGGCCCTCTCTCTGGCCGAGAACAAACAACACAACAGCTCGTCTGATTTTTGATTATTTAGGTTAACAT